TCCTGGAGCCATAGTTCATGGCCTCTGCTACATATCTGGCCTTGGACCCTCCACACAGCCCTTTCTTTGGAAGACGTGGGTTTCCCAGTTTGCTCTGTTAAAATATCTTGCAGCCGATTCAGAGAATGGCACCCACGTACACATCCTTACCTATGGATCGTGTTTCACAGGCTCTGAAATGGTGGGTTTTCGACCTTAGAAATTTCAAGCAGATGAGATGCGGAGCTTCTAAACGGAGTGCGAAATCTTCCCCAAAGTTCTCCTCCCAACTTTTTATTAGAGAGTTTATATAATTGATCACATTTTCAGGATTTGGGACAATGTGGGTTGTTGTTGTTGTTTTTAAAGTTGGTGATTTATTAATTACAAGCACCATGCGGCTATGGTTCTACTCACCCACAGCTTTTTATGACCAACTGGCTGGGTGTTACCCACACCCAGCCCCAGCATGGCCTAGAGCTGCATCCATCTCATGTGAAATGATGCTAGGTGGGATTGCATCCAGGGACCCGGGACCCCCTTTGTCCATTTTGGGGGTTCCAGCCAGCACATGTGAGGGGCCTGGTGCCAGGGGCTCCGGGCATCCCGCTCTCCTTCCACCCTCTGACCAGGATTTCTTTTCTGGCCACTTCACCTGCAGAATTCTTCGACACCTCTCACTCGTCGGATTCACCAGGTTCCAATTTTCACAAACCTCTAAAACCCAGAAAAATCCCTTTAATTCCTGGCAGTTGCACAACTGGCACCTGGAGGAGCCTGGCTTCCTTTTGCCCAGAGTTACTATTTCCAAGCCTCTTGGTTTCTGAGGTTGAGACCCTAGAGACGGGGTTCTTGGGGTTTCTGGGGTAGAAGAGGTCTCCTGAGGTACCTAGTCAGACGGGCTAGCTTGTCCCATGACCAGGTGTAGTGCCAGGCTCAGGTGAACAGCCTAAGGTTCTTTGTCACTCAGCTAACTACCTGCCTGTGCAGACAGATGAGCTGTCTCTCCCACACAGCGGGTCAGTCCACACAGCTGTCGGACAGCAGGCTGGTCCTGAGAAGAGGTTGAGAAGATTGCTTAACTGTGGGCAGGAGACAGAAGGCTGGCCAGCATGCCTCATTCTCATTTAAAAGGAACCTTCTGATGGGAGGTTTTTACACTTGCCGTTAGCATCGGGGTGATCCCTTTCTTCCCATGACAAATGGAGGGAGCAAAGGGGGAGCAAAGTGGCTGGAACCTGTGGGCGAATTGCTTTAGCATCACATCATTAAAAAGAAAAAGAAAAAAAGACCCCAGGAATTTCCCCCAAATGCATCCAGTGTCGCATCTTGCGGTGAGTATTTAAGGTGAGAAAGAGAATTTTGGGTTTGCCAGATTAGAAAGATGAGTTCATCTCCACATGGTGGACCTGCCTTTTGAGAGTGATTGGTCTCGAAGAATTGCCAACACTTGGTTTTCAGTCTACCATGGCTCCTGAACGGCATCTCGCTGGATGGCAAAAATGGTTGAAGATGATGAACCTGACCACGTTCTCCCTCCTGTAATGTAGACTCCATAAAACATGCCACGTCAGAGCCATTTCTTAAAAGTAGGAACGGAAGATTCTAAATCTTTGCCTCCAACCCAGAGCGGAGCAGGCCTGTTGAGTGGGCTAAGCCGCTTGGGAGAGCCTTTCCTCGTGGGCATGCTCCATGCCAAGACTCCATGGGTTAACACGGACCTGGAAAAGGAGAGAAACAGCATTCTCACTGTTTGCCCCAGGGCTCCCACTGACCCTTCCTCCCTCCTTATCGCTGTCTCCCTGTCTCTGTTTCTCAGCCTGGATGGGCTCTGGGACCCCTTGGACCTCCAGGAGACCTAGCAAGGTGCTGTGGGCTCTGCATGAGGAGGCCAGTGCCAGGCACCAGGTTGGAAGCAACTCTTTAGAAGTCTCCGGTCACACACAGTGTACAGATGGCGTGTTGTACAGTTGTCCACCTGAAACCTGTATAATTTTGGTAACCCGTGTCACTGCAATGAATTCAATTAAAAAAAAAAAAAAGAATTAGTCTTAGGTTGGCCTCCTTGCTCTGCCCTTGCTAGCTGTGTGGCCTTAAGCACCTCAAAACCTCTGGTCTTCACCTGGAGATGAAGTGCATGGTGCAGTGTGTATGTGAGAGAATTGAACTCCCTTGGACACCACTCCCTGCCTCCTGTTGCGTGTTGGCTGGCTTTGCCTCACACCCAAGTGAACCAGAGGCAAATTTAAGCCCTGCTCTTGAAAGCAATCCAGCAAACATTTACAGAGAGTGGTGCTAAGTGCCCTGCTCTGTGGAGGGATACGAGACTGGCCCAGTTTCTGAGCCAAAGAGCTGTCGCTCTTGAGAGCTCCTCATTTATCAGCAGGTGGAGGTGGTGCCAGCCCTTCCTCTCCCTCCCTCCCAGCATGCTGGGCCCCAGGGAAATACAGAACATCGGCTCTCTCAGCATGGGCTGCCTCCCCGGGTCAACTCCTTGGGACAACTTGGCAGGAAGAAGAAAGACAAGAAGCTGGCTGACCTTACCCCCACTAGCTTTTTGCCTTCCTTCCAGGAGTGTAAGCCCTTACCTTGCTTGAGTGCCTGGGGAACCGTGCTCTGCATGTTGTGCTAACGTCCGTGCCGGGGAGGGTGGCAGCAACCTGTGGTGTGAGGCTGATGGATATTGGCCTAACCTTGCTTCCCATGCCCAGAGGCAGGGGTGGCGAGAGAAAATTTCTGGTGTGTGCTTTCTTTTGGGCTACCAATCTCAGATCAGGAAAACATCGTCTTCGAATATTTCTGGGTAATTAATCTAAGATACAAGAACATATTATTGCCTGTGAAGTGTCTCAGTTATGTTTCTGAATGAAACTGGAGTGGAATGATGGTTGTCTTTCTTTTGACCGGGCGGGGTGGGGAGAAGAGCAAGTTGGGCTCACAGTTGACTACACTGCTCCCTGCCCTTGTTGGGTGTGTGCTAGGTTATTGGGAGGGGAGAGGCTGGGAGCCTGGGAGCCCCTGTTGCTGTCCTTTCTGTCCCCCAGGCCTGCGGCTCTCATTCATGCCTGTCCCCTCTCTGGTCTCCAGGTGCTGCACCTGTACTGTGACACTTGCTCGGTGCCCATCTGTCGTGAGTGTACCATGGGCCGGCACGGGGGCCACAGCTTCATCTACCTCCAGGAGGCACTGCAGGACTCCCGGGCACTCACCATCCAGCTGCTGGCTGACGCCCAGCAGGGCCGCCAGGCGATCCAGGTCAGTCCTTCCTTCACCTACTTCCTTGTGCATAAAACCGTTCCCACTACCTTTCAGATGGCGTGTGTAGATTACTGGGCAGACGCCAGTGTGTGGGGGCCTTGGTGGAACAATGACCCAAGTGAGCTCATGTGATATCCATGCAGCAATAATCCCTGGGGCTGGGGCACAGGGGTGGAGACCACCTTGAAGTCTTGTGCAGATTAAGATGTGGCCACAGTTAATGGCTGGTCTAGGCTTGTTCCATACACTTAGCCTGGGCCCCTATCACCTCATCTGTCTGTTTCCCATCCAGCCCCTCCCCAATTCCAGGTGGACTACACAGAAGACCTGGGAGCTTGATGCTTTTCAGATAGAGACCTTTGCTGTTCAGATTTATTTATTTATAGGTGAGAAAGAAGCGAATATGGGCACTTTCCCATAAGGTTCAGAGTCTCAAAACTTCTTCCCTGGGTGATCAAGTCACATCCTGGTCATTTAGACTCTTGTTTCTGTTTAATTTCTGTCTCTTTGGGGTTGGGGACACACGTACCTTTGGGGCATAGCACCGTTCTCTCACGCAGCCAGGTAATATTGTGTGCCTGAACCGATTTTGAATCTCCTTGCCTGATCCAGGTTTTCGGAACACGGAAACACCATGAGATGTGTTAGCCTTTGCTTTGTAGGCTAAGCTGGAAAAATCAACACTGCTAATCCTTGAGCAGAAATAGAATAGGAAACTATTGTTAGTTAGAGTATTTGAATAAGTGAATTGTTAAAAAAGCATCTTTTAGTCCTAATCGGTTTGGCTCAGTGGATAGAGCATTGGCCTATAGACTGAAGGGTCCCAGGTTCGATTCCGGTTAAGGGCATGTACCTTGGTTGTGGGCACTTTCCTAGTAGGGGGTGTTCAGGAGGCAGCTGATCAATGTTTTTCTCTCATCGATGTTTCTAACTCTCTATCCCTCTCCCTTTCTCTCTGTAAAAAATCAAATATATTTAAAAAAAAAAAAAAAGAATGGGCTTCTGTAGGCCTTGACTATTGTTATAGCCTATAAGAGGAATAATCCTTACTAGGGAGAAGTGTCATATGGCCAGACATTTTTTATTTAAGGAACTTAGTGATAAAAATGACTTGAAAATATAGTGGACCTTGTAACACTGTTAGGGGACTGTGGTTAGGTTATCTAGAGTCTTGCTTTTATACTGGGTGGACGTTGTGGAATTGGGACAGGCTGTAGTTAATGTCTTCAAGTGGTTAACTTGAGCCCAATATATTGATGCAGTGTGGTGATCTTGAAGTAATTTTTATAGTGTCATTGGAATAAGCCATAAGCCTTACAATGTTAGGATGCTCTGAAGTTATGCTTTCCAAGGTGGGTTGTGTATAAGTATCTTTTAGGGCCCTGACCGGTTTGGCTCAGTGGATAGAGCGTCGGCCTGCGGACTGAGGGGTCCCGGGTTCGATTCCGGTCAGGGGCATGTGCCTTGGTTGCGGGTGCATCCCCAGTAGTGGGGGGTGTGTAGGGGGCAGCTGATCGGTGTTTCTCTCTCATCAATGTTTCTGACTCTCTATCTCTCTACCTTCCTCTCTGTAAAAAATCAATAAAATATATTAAAAAAAATAAAAGTATCTTTTAGGAAAATGGTTGAAGAACTGACCATGTGCTCTAGGGAAGATGGTTTAAGGATGGTTTAGATTTTAATATATTTCTCCACAGCTGTCACTTTCCTGTGCGTGATGTTGAAGTAATCTTTCTGATAAGTCAAATTGTCTGATGTCCACATCCTAAAATTGAAGGTTTGAGAGTCTGTTTCCGGAATTATTTACTCTGTTGTATTCTTAGTATGCCTTCAGAGTGTCTCTGTCCCGTGGTTGCTGTTACATCTCACGTGTCAGCATCCTCACTGGTACATGCTCTGTTTTATTTCTATTCTATCTTAATAACTGTGTCCCCGTGAATGAAGTGGTTTGTGGTTTTCATTTTTTATGCCACTACAGTTAGGGCCTTGTCCACTGCTTGCCCTGCAGGCTTCTTACTAAGGCACCGTCACCTGGGGAGTTTAAAGAACCATTGAAGTCAGCCTTGCTGGTGTGGCTCCGTTGGGTGCCTTGCCTTTGTGCACCAAAAGGTTGCCCGGTTGATTCCCCTTCAGGGCACATTCCCGGGTTGCAGGCTCAATCCCCAGTAAGAGGGTGTGCAAGAGATAGCCGATCGATGATTCTATCTCATCGTTGATGTTTCTATCTCTCTCTCTCCCACTCTGAAACCAATCAATAAATATATATACATTAAAAAAAAGTAAACATGGTCACTCTTCATATTAAAGCAAGAGTAACAGGTATTACACCATTTTGCACAAAAATGAGAACTGAGCTTAATGTCTAAGCATAATTGTTTTAGGTTGTACAGATGCAATGTTAATCTAGACTTTTGGATTAATTTTGTCCCTTATCTCCTGTTTGTCTTTTATCATTTCTTGATCATCCTAATAGACGAAGGTCCCCTGGGGACACTCCAGCTTGCCATGGTGGAAAGCTGCCACAATTATGCTGAGAATGCCTACTCTCTCTTGTGAACTAATTTAAACTATCCCCAAAAGTAGATCAAGGAAGCATTTTTTTTTTCTATTACAAATAATGGAACTGGAGGAACAAAATTAATTGCTTTGCCCAGGCAACCAGATCTTAACCAGTCGGCTTTCCCTTTTCTTCAGTGAGGGCTACCAAACCTGTTTACTGAGCTCCTGCTTTGTTCCAGGCACTGAAATAGGCACTTTATGCATACATAGTAGTGCTTTTATGGTGTGGGTGTCATTCTTTCCATTTTGCAAAGAGAACACTTTGCTCCAAAGAAATTAACCTCAAGTAACCTGCCAGAGGCACACTAAGGGTGAATAGAATTGCAGTTTGAATCCAAAACTAACAGTTTCTCATTTGGGAAGCATGTGAGCAGGTGTCCTCTCTCTAGCTCCCCAACCCCTTCTTATGCATGTGCAACCCTCCCCCCCTCCCCCCCCCCAGATACGAAGAAAAATCATGGTTGAAGAACTTGAATGCACCATGACCTAATTTAAAAATTTCCCATGGTGTCTTAATTAGGACTCTTGGTTGCCATTGACTAAAAGGGAATGAATAGTCTCAGGTGACCAGGTAGAAGAATATGGATGGATCAGGCTTCAGGTATCCAGGGACGCAGACCTTGGTGCCAGCACTGTCAATCATTTAGCTCTGTCCCTCTCTCCATGGTAACCTCATTCTTGCTACTGGATCTGGGCTTGACCGTGTAGTGCTGAGAGAAAGGTGGGCTTAAGTGGCGATCGCTTTGGGCCTGCACCGTTCAGCAAGCCACCCTCAGGGTAAGAGTGGGTATCCTTCCCCCCTCCCCCCCTCCCCTTCCCTGTTCAGGTTGGTGGAGGAGGCTGGAGCATCCTATATAATAAAAGCCCAGTGACAGAAACAGCAGAAAAACCAAAGACCAGAATGACCACGGCCCCTTGCCCTGGCCAGCCCCGCCCCCCAGCTAGTGGTTAGGGGCGATCAGGCAGGCAGGCAAAGTGGCTAGGGGCAATCAGGCAGCTAGGCGAGCAGTTAGGAGCCAGTGGTCCTGGATTGCAAGAGGGGTGTCCAACTGCCAGTTTAGGCCCTACTTGTAGGGATCCTTGTGGGATTGGGCCTAAACCGGCAGTCAGACAGTTGGACATCACCTGAGGGGTTCCAGATTGCGAGAGGGTACAGGCTGGGCTGAGGGACAAAACCACCCCCCCACACACACACCCTGCACGAATTTTGTGCACCAGGCCCCTAGTCCATATACAAAATCCCAGGGAAGGGCCCTTGACTGGCCTGTCTTCCTTCATTCCTCCTTGGACACAGTGACTGGGGGCACTATGATAGGGAGTTCCCTTTGGAGCAAATGAATGAGCATTTAACATCTCAAAGTAAAGGATACTAGGCAGCCATATCTGCAGGTAGACAGGTAGTAGATTTAAGTCCATATCAACTTTACACCACCTTTATTTTTTTTAAATATATTTTATTGATTTTTTACAGAGAGGAAGGGAGAGGGATAGAGAGTTAGAAACATCAGTGAGAGAGAGACATTGATTAGCTGCCTCCTGCACATCCCCCACTGGGGATGTGCCCGCAACCAAGGTACATGCCCTTGACTGGAATCAAACCCGGGACTCATCAGTCTGCAGGCCGACGCCCTATCCACTGAGCCAAATCGGTTAGGGCGTTTACACCACCTTTAAATGAGTATTAGTAACCCAGAAATATATTTTACAATGTGTATGGGCTCAGTACAGTTTGGGGGGTTGTTTTAATTTACATTTACAGCTTTTGTTTAGAAAAACATTTCAGAAACTCCGTTCCCTTTCTTCAACCAGAGGATATTTGTCTTATTGCTTTCCCCTCTGTAGTTGGAAGATAATATATACTCACTAGAGGTGTTTTTTACCTTTTTTTCAGGTCACTTCTGGGCCCCAAATCACACACTGATCCTCTTTTATGTGTTTGTGTTGGGGCCAGAAGGCTTGAGATATATATTGGCTGTTCTCCTGTCCTATATAATAAAAGGATAATGTGCAAATGACCGAACAGTGGAAGGACAGGTCGCTATGACGCGCACGGACCACCAGGTGGTAGACGCTCAATGCAGGAGCTGCCCCATGGTGGTCAGTGTGCTCCCACAGGGGGAGTGCTGCTCAGCCACAAGCCCAGCTGATTTCTGGCGAACACAGCAGCCCGCCTCCTCAGCACTAAGGATGTCCAATTGCGGCTTAGGCTCTGGGGAGCAGGCCTAAGCTGTCAGTCGGACATCCCCTGAGAGCTCCCGCACTGCAAAAGGGTGCAGGCCTGGCTGAGGGACAACCCCCCCCTCCAGTGCACGAATGTCATGCCTCTAGTAATAAATAAGCAGTCATGCCCTGTAAGCAGCTTGTGTATTAACTTCCCTCATCTTGTCTTGAGCACCTTCTTTAAATATATATATTGATTTCAGAGAGGAAAGGAGAGGGGGAGAGAGATAGAAACATCAATGATGAGAGAGAATCATTGATCAGCTGCCTCCCTCACGCCCCCCGCTGGGAAGGGAGCCCGCAACCTGGGCACATACCTTTCACTGGAATTGAACCCAGGACCCTTGAGTCCACAGGCCAACGCTCTGTTCAATGAGCCAAGCCGGCCAGGGCTTGAGCACCTTCTTTTCCTCCCATCCTGTTGTCCTCATCAGCTTCTTTTCAAGATTAATTTCTGTGTAAGCTTTAATAAATCAGTCCTGGGTGGGAAGAGTATACATAAAAAAGACATCTCTCCCATTGATTTTTTTTTTTAATCCAGTGTTAATTTAGCTTTTTGTATTTATAAAAAGCACCCAGAAGTAAATCCTTTGATTAATTCTAGACAGAATTACCCTGACGAGAGTTTAGAATTGCCCATAACAAAGAAAGCATGGAAGATGTTTGTAGTGTTAGACCTCATCATTTATATTGCTTTTTAGAACCTTCTATTATTTTGATTCTTCCTGAAAATATACATCATTCTGGTCACCTGTGTAATTAGAGGGTTTTATAAGGTGCACTGATTACCTGGGGATATTCATAAGCAGGATAGGAATATGGTTGCTCTCCACATAAAAGAGCCTTGATTCTTTAATTGTTTTATGTCTTTTATCATATTTAAGATGCCATTGCCTGTAAGATGCACATTTATTTTATATGTAACTAATGAAGGAAAAACTGTGCTGACTTTTTTGTTTGTTATGCTCACTTAAGGATATTTTTTCCATAATTATTTTCTTATAAGAGTAAGAGGGAAGGAAGAAAAGAGAGAAGAAACATTAATGTGAGAGAGACACATCCATTGGTTAATTCCTACATGCACTGCATGTACACCAAACAGGGTGGGGAAACCCTTGACCAGGAATCAACCCTGGACCCTTTGGTCTGCAGGCCGACGCTCCAACCACTGAGCCATGTACTGACAATTTTAAGATGAATCATGGTTTCAAAGCTCTTAAATGTGTTTACAATTATATGAGTACAGTAGAGTATTTTTCATTATCTGCTATGGTGGCCTGCGAGTTTGTGCACTTTTATCTTCTTCTGGTTATCGGTACACTCTAAATACCAGCCATTAGGCCACCACTGTTCTCCACGGCAGACATCACTAATCGCTTTCTGCACTCCGTCCTAGGAAACCCACATATGGCCTCAGACTCCTCGGTACTAAGTGGCCAGCTGGCAATCACTTAGTACTCCTCGGTACTAAGTGATTTCGCCTGCCAGGATTGAGACCCTCAGTTTCAGATGTTTGATTGGCTCATTTAGAAGATAATAACATTTTTTTTCTTCAAGCCCCATGCTTGTTGGTTGTTTTTTGTTTGTTTTAATTTTAACTGCAAAGTGTGTTCCTATTTTCAAAGTTGACCCAGCCCCTTCCCCACTGTCATCTTTTTTTTTTTTTTTTTTTTTAA